GATTTTGTGTATTGGGATTTTGTTGCCGGGATTTTGTGTGTCGGGATTTTGTGTGTCGGGATTCTGATATACAACCGTAGTAAAACTATTGTAGTAATTTTTAAGATATATATATTCAAAAGTAATTAATTTTTATTTACTTTTAAAAAAAACTATTAGTTCAATTTTAATAATTTTACTACTATTAGAACCAGAAAAGTCTAATAAACAACTTTTATTAAGATTAAAAAGATTTTTTTAATAACAATACCTCCTCTGGGAAATTTAGAGAGTGGTATTAGCAAAAATAGAGTGGAAATAGCAATTCACTAAATTTATTATTTAATAATATTAAAGCTCATACTATACACCAGATTAAAGACTATATAAAAAATAAAAATTATATTAAGTTTATTATTTAATAATATTAAAAACCTATACTATATACCAGGTTAAAAACTATAAAAAATAAATATTTTATTTAATAATATTAAAGCCTGGTACTATGCACTAGGTTAAAGACTAGTATTAGCTATATTTAAAGTCTCTCAAAATTAAATCAAATTAAATATTAAGCATATTTAAATTTGATTTGATTTGAAAAATCTGTATCTAAATTTGATTTGATTTAAAGTTTTTAAAAATTTTAAAATTTAGCTATTTTTCAAAATCTTCAATTTATACAAAATTTTACTAAATTAATTGACTTTATATACTAAGTAAAAAATTTATAAACCAAAATATTTTTTGTTTTATAGAATAAAAAAGATAATTAGCATAATAAATTTTTAAGAAAATAGCTATTATAATTATAGTTTTAATTATAACTTTATAAATCAAATCAAATATTTTAAATATTTAATCAAATCAAATCAAGTATTTATTAATTTGAATTTGATTTGAAGTCAAATATTTGATCAAATCAAATCAAATTAAATCAAATTGCAGAACTTTAGCTACTGTATATTAGTTATAGAAAAGATCTTATTAGCTAGTTAGATAGAGCACAGTAGTACTATAGCCAGGTAATACAAGATTATACCAACTAGTAATTTATATAATATAATACAAGATATAATATGTATATCTTTAAGTACCTCTGCCCTAGTGTTTTTAAGTATTTTTATATATACCTTTAAGTACCTTTACACACAATACCTCTATGTGTCTTTGTACAATTGCCTCTATATACCTCTATACAAATATCTCTAACTACTTTTATATATACCTTTGCCTATCTCTACATTATTTGGCAATTATTCTGTTACACCTTCTATATATAGAAAAGTTATAAAAAAAAATCTTTTCCTCTTTTACTCAAGTTAGAGTTCTCTACTCTTTTATAGAATCTAGCCTTACCTTCTTATCTATCTTACAATTATATAGAGTAATATTCTTCTTCTAGGGTAATTTCTACAAACAAAGTTATCACTATAACCAAGATATAGAGCACTAGAAGAATAAGCTATTTTGGGTATTGCCACTACTGAACTGATACCTGGATTTGAATTTGCTAAAAAGGCAGTTTCAGTAGCTAGAACAATAATGATTACAAATTCTTTGGTTGGACAATGAAGTTGAATACACGCAAATTTATTAATACCATTATCATAATCCTCAGAATTGTTATAGATCACCTATCAATATTTTAGCCATTTGTCAAGAAATAGTTGCATAGTTCTGAAGATAAGGGAATAAGATCCTCACCTCATAGCAACAGTAGTGAACATGAATTAATTATAGGTTTAATTCTTTGATTACATGCTGGTTTAGGATTTCAACCACTTACATCAGGTCAATACTGATTCAAATGAGATCCTAAAATACGGCACTAACATTTCTGCTGCAAACTTTAATAATACATTTAATCAAATTTCAGTAATGTACGTGAGTTATCACGGAAGCTTAATAAGCAAAGATCGAGTCACTTTGTAAAAACATCTTTTTTTTTGTAACGAAGTAAAAATAATGTCTTTTATTCGTGTACAGAAAACTGTTTCGCTATTTGTATTATATGAAATTCTAGTAATCTTGGTTTTTTTTTGGGTTGTTTTTTTTTTTTGAAAAGTCCTTAAAATAAAATCCTAATTAACGAAAATCATTGCGTACACATTTGACCATGGGATGATTTCCTGATCATTAAAGTGTTAAGATTGATACACCATAATAATAAGTATGCATTACTTTTCTCTGAACATTAATTTGATCCAAATAAAAAAGCACAAAATCTATTCATAAAAGTCATTAGATACAACTCGAGTGATGAAAAATTTATTTAGTTTATAAATAAAAAGTTCAAATAAATAGTTATTATATTAAAATACTTGTCTAACATTTACATTAATACGAGTTGTTGACATAAAATCACCATAAATATCCCACTCCGGATCTTCCACATTGTTAGGAGCAAGATATGTCGGAAGGGTTCCTTCGAGAATTCGTGGAACACCTTTAAATTGAAATATATATTTGACTTAAATTTCTTGAAATAAAAGTGATTTAAATGTTGATGATATACAAACCATGAAAGCATCCTCGACTAGGTCCACACATTATTGAAATATCTCCGCTACGCAAATATAATGCCAAAGGGACGGTGTCGCGCGTTGGACCGCCGATTAAAAAAATACACGAATGTCCAAAACTAAAGTATTTATTTTTTTTTTTTTATCAGAACGAATTATATAATAAATAAAGTTTAATCAATATTTTTAGAATACCTAAAAGATATTAAGGGAGCATCCATATTTATTTCACTTCGGTCAACATGTGCCATTAAATTATCTTTAAGTTGATAATAATTAACTACACCAGCTTCTGGTTTCCATTTTGCCACATCATATTTGTGAATAAAACTACCATCTGGAAAACCAAGTCCATCTATTGCTTTGACCACTGCAGTTGTTAAATCATTTATGTCTTGAGGGAATTGGAATCGACGATCAAAATGATAAGTTTTTGTAGACCAATGATATTGATATCCCAAAGTGATCCATCTTAATTTATGAATTAATTGGGATAGTGGTAGTATAGAAACAGTGGGAGATGGTGGGGGATCTGGTTTTTCTTTGTTGACGGTGGTTAATTTTGTGGATTTGGGTGATTCCTCGTCATCGTTTGTGTATCGCATGTCACTATTTTCATTGGTTGAAGTGGCCTTTAAAGGGATAAAGCATTCTTTATCGTTTTCATCCAATATATTGTTGTAAACCTTTTCGTAAAGTTCCCAAATTCCTTGTTTAGGTAAAATATAATGAGTATCAAGATTAGAAATATTTGGATGCTTTGCAAAATCTTTTAGACATCGTTTGATTACATGTTTTTGTGCATCTGGTGTAAATGGATTACGAATAAATATAAATCCTAAAAATAGATAAGGGATGAATTAATATCCTCAGAATTATCTGGTCTAAAATATTTTGAATAATACATTACCTGGCAAATCTTTAAATAAATATGCCTTTTTTCTTTCAATGTATCCACCATCCTTGCATTTTCCAAATAAATTTTCGCATTCTTCACCTAAGTCAACAGCTAATTCTATTTCAATTACTTTATTTTTAATTTCATCTATGCAATTTTCTAAATTATAAAAATCAATCACACGGCTAAAATCTGGTGGTGGTAAACGTGATTTAAAATTTCTTTCAGCATCCCGAAATGGTGTTTTAGTAGCAAATGATGATGATTTGGTAAGACGAGATTGAAGTTGTTTTTGTTCCAATTTTTGTTGTCGTTTAGATTTAATCATTATGCGCAAAAATAAAAAAAAATAATGTGTGACCTGAGATTATGATCTGATATGTCACGTGAATTTAAAAAATGATTGGTACACGCTATACATACAGTACGACATTCGGTTATAAATATTTAGAGGATTGTACCCTTCCCGTATTCGGAATAGTGTAATACACGTTCACACGAGCAGGGAATTAATCATAAATAAATCTGTACGTAAATAGTTCAACGATACCATTGAAACTCCTTCTTTTGTATAAAAGTTTATATAATAATTTTATTTTATTAGATATAATAAAAATGAGGATATTAAAGAATAAAAGTTTTAAATCCGCGTATATTTCTATAATCATATCAGCATTAGTTTTTGCATCATTATATGCAATATCAACTTTTAATAAAATTGGGTTTTCATTTTATGATTCTACGCCGTCAACATTGCCAACTAAACCAAAAATTCAGGAAAAGAGCGAATGGTTGACGAATTTTGTTGATCCTTTAATTGGTATTAAAGAGGGTATGCCAAGCGGGATTCTCTCTAGATATATTTGAATTACTGACATTTCTGATGAAATTAATTGGAATGTTTCATAATGGGTGATTAGGGGACGTGTTTCCCGGTCCTTGCTTACCATTTGGTGTAGTAAAAGTTGGAATTGATACACACGATGCCGGGTTTGTCTACATAGTCTTTTTTAATATGAAATGATAAGTAATTAAAATTTTGATATATTTACCTTTTGGCTTGCAGGTATGCTGTGGATGAAGCGGTCACAGGAATAAGTCGTATGTGATTTTTTAATAAAATTTTTAAAATTCAAAGAAATTGTATAGCAGTATTTTATTTATTATTTATTATTTATTTATTTATTTATTATTTTTTTTTAACCTTTTATTTCATTTTATTTTATTTTTTTTGCATTCTTTTTCTATAAGATTTGCACATTAGTGGATCAGGTGAAACAAATATTCATAACGTTCGCTTATAACAAAAAATATAACAAAAACTCTAATATCTGTTAAAAATCACATGACTTTTATATATACTTTTAAACCGCTCTTAATTCATGAAAATATAGGTGCAGACGAACCTAAATATGGTGTAATCAGTCAATTCCCATTTACTACTTCCATGGATTCATTCGATTTGCATAATTACTCTTCGATTCGTTCATTAGAGCGTTATGAAGTTGGTTATGGATTAATCGGATTAAAACGATATAATCTTGTTGTTGAGTTAACAGCGAGTAGGAGAGCAGCATTGCATAAATATAGTTTTCCACCATTAATTAATGAATCTCATATAATGATTGATTTATCTCATATAAATTCTTAGTAAGTATTTTAATTATTGATAATCTCTGCTAAGTTTAATATTTATCAGTTGATAAAATGATAAAATTGGTAATTTGATAATAGTGGACAATATGTTTCTGGTGAAATTTCTGTAACTTCAAATGAGATGAAAGGTTTTGGTCGTTACAAAGATTGGAGGTTTGGTCCTCAATATTCCGTATATTTTTGCTCTCAATTTGACACAAATGCTTCAGATTATTATACATTTTGGAATGGAAAGATTACGCGAGATTCTACCTATGAAACTAGTGGAATTTATCCTATTGGTGCTATTCTGGGATTTGATACTACAAAGCCAATGCAATCTGTAATTAAATCTCGAGTCGGTATATCGTTTATGTCTGTGGATCAAGCATGTAAAAACGCACAGGAAGAGATACCGAACTGGGATTTTGATTTAACAAGAGAAAAAGCAGTTGAAGCTTGGGAAGTGGAACTTGAGAAAATTCAAGTTACTGATGGAACTGACGATTTAAAAAAGATATTTTATTCGAATTTATACAGAACAATGATTACTCCAAGTGATCGGTAAGTGGACATCAATACGATTGGCTTTTTTTTTTATTTTATTTTAGTTGTCATATATGTATTTATAAAGCTAATGAGCTTATTATTCTCTGCAGAACGGGAGAAAATCCGAATTGGGTATCTTTTGATAAAAATGGTAGAATTATACCTAACTATGATGATTTTTTAACATTAGTAAATTTCTATTCCTTAAATGTGATGTCTGTATTGCTTCATTTTATACAAAATCATTGATTTTTATACACCCATTTTTCGTAATATTTTGATTTAAATAGCGAAGCATCTTCAGGTAAATCATAACTTTAAATACTAACTTTATTTCTTAAATGAACATTATAAAACAATAATTTCTATTCGGTTATAAAGAACTACAGTCCCACTAT